TCAATAATGTACTAAATCTGTATAAACACAAAAATTCTTGCTCTTATCCAGTGGCATTTTTTCTTCATAACGAGAACAATAACAGGTAGGAAAGCAAATAAACAGAGAAGAAAATTTTATAAGGAAAATGGATTCAAAATATAGGTTCAATATGAGGCCACTTATCTCCTATTATTGGCATCTCCCAAACGACATTGTAGGCATTCACAAATTACACAGCAACACATGTAGGATACACAACAAGGACCTTCAGAAAGGCAACCAGGTTTCTGAATGTTGCTGGGTGCTCTTTGTACAACATGTGTTCTTTCTTAACACTTATGAGCCATGAATGGAGCCAGAGACCCCACAGAGACTGAGACAGAACTGTGTTTGAGTGTCTCCTGTGGAGGACGGGTCAGCAGTGGCCTGCCGCAGGGGCAGGGGCTCTGCGTGTGGCAGACTTGGGTATGGCATAAGCCCTCTTGGAGGAGGTCACCGTTAACCCCACCATAGAGCTGCCAGAGCTAAAACAGGACTGGGAATTAGACTCTTGGAAGACACAAACAGAGCCTCGTATGCACCAGGACCCAGGAGAAAGGAGCAGTGACCCACAAGAGACTGACCCAGAACTGCCCAGGAGTGTCCAGGGGTCTCCAGTGGAGGCATGGGTTGGCGGTGGCCTACCACAGGGTTGGGGGCACTGAGGGTAGCAGTGCATACATGGGACCTTTTGAAGGAGGTCACCATTTTCTGCATTACCTCCACCATAGTTTGGGCCCAGGTAAATAACAGGGAGGGCACACAACTCCACTCATCAACAGAAAATTGGATTAAACATTTACTAAACATGGTCCTGCCCATCGGAACAAGACCCAGTTTTCCCTTCAGTATCTCCAATCAGGAAGCTTCTATAAGCCTCTTATCCTTCTGCATCAGAGGGCAGACAGCCTAAAAACCACAATCACAGAAAACTAACCAATTTGATCACATGGGACCACAGCCTTGTCTAACTCAATGAAATTATGAGCCAGGCAGTATAGGGCCATCCAAGAGGAATAAGTCATGGTGCAAGGTTCTGACAAAACATGGTCCACTGGAGAAGGGAATGGCAAAGCACTTCAGTATTCTTGCCTTGAGAACACCATGAAAAGGCAAAAAGATAGGACACTGAAAGATGAACTCCCCAGGTCGGTAGGTGCCCAATATGCTACTGGAGATCCGTGAAGAAATAACTCCAGAAAGAATGAAGAGATGGAGTCAAATCAAAAACAATACCCAGTTGTGAATGTGACTGGTGATAGAAGCAAACTCTGATGCTGTAAAGAGCAATATTGCACAGGAACCTGAAATGTTAGGTCCATGAATCAAGGCAAACTGGAAGTGGTCAAACAGGAGATGGCACGAGTGAACATCGACATTTTAGGAATCAACAAACTAAAATGAACTGGAATGGATGAATTTAACTCAGGTGACCATTGTATCTACTACTGTGGGAAAGAATCCCTTAGAAGACATGGAGCATCCATCATGGTCAACAAGAGAGTCCTAAATGCAGTACCTGTATGTGGTCTCAAAAATGACAGAAAGATATCTGTTTGTTTCCAAGGCACACCATTCAATATCATGGTAATTCCAAGTCTATGCCTCTACCAGTAATGCTGAAGAAGTTGCAGTTGAACAGTTCTATGAAGACATACAAGAATTTCTAGAACTAACCCCTAAAAAAAGATGTCTTTTTCATTATAGGGGACTGGAATACAAAAGTAGGAAGTCAAGAAACACCTGGAGTAACAAGCAAATTTGGCCTTAGAGTAAAGAATGAAGCAGGGCAAAGGCTAACAGACTTTTGCCAAGAGAACGCACTGGTCATAGCAAACACCCTCTTCCAACAACACAAGAGAAGACTCTAACCATAGACATTACCAGATGGTCAATACCGAAATCAGATTAATTATATTCTTTGCATCCAAAAATGGAGAAGCTCTATACAGTAAGGAAAAACAAGACTGGGTGTTGATTGTGGCTTGGATCATGAACACCTTACTGTCAAATTCAGACTTAAATTGAATAAACTAAGGAAAACCACTAGACCATTCAGGTATGACCTAAATCAAATACCTTACGATTATACAGTGGAAGTGAGAAATAGATTCAGGGGATTAGATCTGATAGGCAGAGTGCCTGAAGAACTATGGGCGGAGGTTTGTGACATCATACAGGAGACAGGGATCAAGACCACCCCCAAGAAAAAGAAATGCAAAAAGGCAAAATGGTGGTCTGAGGAGGCCTTACAAATAGCTGTGAAAAGAAGCAAAAAGCAAAGGAGAAAAGGAAAGATATACCCATTTGAATGCAGAGTTCCAAAGAATAGCAAGGAGAGATAAGAAAGCCTTCCTCAGTGATCAATGCAAAGAAATAGAGGAAAACAATAGAATGGGAGAGACTAGAGATCTCTTAAAGAAAATTAGAGACACCAAGGGAATATTTCATGCAAAGATGGGCTCGATAAAGGACAGAAATGGTATGGACCTAAAAGAAGAGGTGGCAAGAATACACAGAAGACTATACTATCTTCACGACCCAGATAATCACGATGGTGTGATCACTCACCTAGAGCCAGACATCCTGGAATGGGAAGTCAAGTGGGCCTTAGGAAGCATCACCACTTAGGAAGCTAGTGGAGGTGATGGAATTTCAGCTGAGCTACTTCAAATCCTAAAAGATGATGCTGTGAAAGTGCTACACTCAACATGCCAGCAAGTTTGGAACACTCAGCAGTGGCCACAGGACTGGAAAAGGTCAGTTTTCATTCCAATCCCAAGAAAGGCAATCCCAAAGAATGCTCAAACTACTGCACAACTGCACTCATCTCACATGCTAGCAAAGTAACGCTCAAAATTCTCCAAGGCAGGCCTCAAGAGTACGTGAACTGTGAACTTCCAGATGTTCAAGCTGGGTTTAGAAAAGTTAGAGGAACCAGAGAACAAATTGCCAATATCCGCTAGATCACTGAAAAAGTGAGAGAGTTCCAGAAAAACATCTATTTCTGCTTTATTGACTATGCGGATGACAATAAACTATGGAAAATTCTGAGAGATGGGAATACCAGACCACGTGACCTGCCTCGAGAAATCTGTATGCAGGTCAGGAAGCACCAGTTAGAACTGGACATGGAACAATAGACTGCTTCCAAATAGGGAAAGGAGTATGTCAAGGCTGGTTATTGTCACCCTGCTTATTTAACTTATATGCAGAATATAGCCGACAGAATACATGAGAAATGCTGGGCTGGATGAAGCACAAGCTGGAATCAAGATTTCTGGAAGAAATATCAATAACCTCAGATATGCAGATGACACCATACTTATGGCAGAAAGCGAAAAAGAACTAAGGAACCTCTTGATCAAAATGAAAGTTGACTTAAAACTCAACATTCAGAAAACTAAGATTATGGCATCTGGTCCCATCACTTCATGGCAAATAGATGGGGAATCAGTGGAAACAGTGACAGACTTTATTTTTTGGGCTCCAAAATCACTGCAGATGATGACTGCAACCATAAAATTAAAAGACGCTTGCTCCTTGGAAGATAAGTTATGACTAACCTAGACAGCATGTTAAAAAGCAGAGACATTACTCTGCCAACAAAGGTCTGTCTAGTCAAAGCTATGGTTTTTCCAATAGTTATATATGGATGTGATAGTTGGACTATAAAGAAAGCTGAGGGCCAAAGAATTGATGCTTTTGAACTGTGGTGTTGGAAAAGACTCTAAGGAGATCCAGCCAATCCATCCTAAAGGAAATCAGTCCTGAATATTCAATGGAAGGACTGATGTTGAAGCTGAAACTCCAATACTTTTGCCACCATATGCAAAGAAGTGATTCATTTGAAAAGACCCTGATGCTGGACAAGACTGAAGGCAGGAGGAGAAGGTGACGACAAAGGATGAGATGGTTGGACGGCATCACCGACTCAATGGACATGAGTTTGAGTAAACTCTGGGAGTTGGTGATGGACAGGGAGGTCTGGCGTGCTGCAGTCCATGAGGTCACAATGAGTCGGGCACGACTGACCGACTGAACTAAACTGAACTGAACTGAATGACCCATGAATATTCTTTACACAGAATTAGTAGATCAAGTTCAAGTAATTGATAAAAACAGTATACCTTCTTTTAAGATTAATGTAAAAGGCACCAAAAAAGTCAATAGGATAATTATGGATAATAGGATATTAATAGGATAATTAGTTAATAGGATAATTATGTCAAATTACATATAATATGTTTACATTTGATATGTTAGCCATTTTTAACTGAGCTCTTCATAAGCAGTGATGTCATTGCTTAGTTTTTCCAGCAGAGGGAAGCAAAGCCTAATTAATTTTGTTTTCTGTAAAGGGTTGAAGTGTGAGGAATGGGACATACTACAATTTTACTTCATTTTAAATAAAGATTGGTTGATATTTCATCATTAAATAAGCAACTTGACATCTTTTAGAAAGCAGAAAATAAACTTGATCCAAAATCCCCCAGTTCGGGGGAATATCCTACTGGTAAATCAGTGTGAAGCCATCCAAACTATCTTCTACTTGAGTAGGATACTCAGTAAGAATGTACTGGGTCTATACTATCAGCATATAAATGAAAAATTTGCATTACTTAGTTTAAGACTGCACTTTCTTCTTGGATATATTTAAATGAATATATTTGTTGTACTACTCAGGTTGCAACTATATATAAAAGCGTATACTTAAACCTGACTTCTTTTGGTTAATTTGAAAATTGAGCATCAGGTCTCATAAGGGTCTAATATCTCGAACTTATCATACCTGCAATAATAAAATATAATTCAGTGCTTTGTGTTCATTATAATTTTCTTCCACAAGATGTTCTTTCTCTTCAGTTGCACTTCTCTAAGTATTCTGGCAGCGGTGTATAACTTGTATCATATACATTGCTGCTTTTGGTTTTATCCTAGTGCTAGCAGGTTGAGAGATTAAAAATGTTGTAACTTACCATGGTGTTGTAAGTCTGAACAGTGGGTCAATGGATCTCCATTTCTTATATCTTGTCGTCTTGTGCGTCTAAAACAATTATATTTAAAAGGTATTACTGTATCTCTGTTCCTTCTTGGGGATTTGTCATAAGAATTGAGAAGAATCAAAATCAAAGATCCCAGGAGTTTATTAGAAGAGATGAATATATATATGATTAAAAGAGTTTTTAAAGCAGTTCATTATACCTGTAAGAGCAGTCTCCAAGATGATCAAAATGGAAAATAGTATATATATGCACTAAGTAAATAACAGTGCCTTAAAAGTCTCAAGGTATTGAAAACAGGAAATTCATGGGTTCTTTTGCTACTGAATGTCAATCAATAAGAAACTAACATCTAAAAAATTCAAAATTCTTAATACCTTAAATTCTGAGGAAAAAACACAAAATATAGAAAAGCAACCCATTTATTCAATGAACAGAATTACTTTTTTTCCCCTAATCACTAATGAAGGAGTAAGATTGAAAATTAAAAATGTGAATTTTTGTCTTAATATTTGTACATAATTCCTTAAATTAATTTTTGTTAAACTCTAGTATTAAGACAAAGAATTATATTGTAATTTAGTCTGTAATTTTTCTTTTGGTTGCTATATCAACCTTTTTTTTAATAAAATATTTCTTTTATGATTACATAGTTATGATTACAAACCAATTTACTTATGAAGTGAATAAAAGGACAAAACAGCAACATATATTAAGGAGCAAGTCTCCTTTTATAAGAGAAAGGTGAGAGAGAAGATGAACTTACCTCTAAGATAAAACCTGAAATTAAATTCTCCTGCATTCTACTGCTCAGATAATGTTTGTTATAGTACATTCTGGACACCTTCTCTCTACAATTTGCTAACGGTTAACTGGGAATAAGGAGGTTGTCTCCAGCCACTGTGGTGCAAACATGGTGTGTAGTTCAAGTAAAAGGCTAAAAATGGAGACTGCTTACGGGTAAGTGACTGGAAAAGACTGGGGACACTTGCCCAACTGTATACTGCATCTATTTTGATGGGTATTGTCTTGCTGCAAAGTTAGTTACCAACCCTGAAAAAAGTTCTCACAAAGGCCACTGAGAACTGCAAACATGGAATTTGTTACTGTATTCATAAATTTAGAAGTCCCAAGTATTTATAAATTTCTATTTGTAGTATTGGTGACACTATCAAACAGATGGTGCACATTTCAAAATTGAGCCAACAAAAGAACTTGTGAAACACGAACCACAGAGCATTTGGGACGGAATTGCCATTTAAGCTTTTGAAAAATGCCATCACAAAGAATACATAAATTGTAAGGCCTCTAAACATCCTTTTCAAAGACACATGAAATTGGATTAGGTAAAATCTGCAAGGCACAACAAAAATGTGTTAATTGTAATTCCTTCAATCTTGGATTCTAGGTATGCAGTAAACATTTCAAATATATAATAATATCCAGGTTTTAACTTACTACAGATTTAGTTATGATGTTATTTTTATATTATTTTTCATTAAGAAAAGCTTAAAATTCAAATGAATTATTACTGAATTAGGCAATGTTATACATTTCACATGGAATGAAATTAATACACATTTTTAGTTCAAACATGAATTCCACTTTTAAGCAACAATTAAAGTCCTCTAGAGCTAAATGATTTAAGAAGCATAAAGCCTTATTCTTAATTAATTTAATTTTAATGCTGTGAAAAGATCATATTGCTATTTATTAATATATTCAAGGTTTCTTTGATCAGTAACACATTATCTCCACACTAAGTTTTTGTTTTAAATTTAAACTTCCAACAAAGTCGATAGGTACATGAAAGTAATACAAATACGTTTTCTCAATTCTGAATACTGAAGGCTTAAGAAAATCGAGTATTTAGTAAATGGACTGGTTAATACATTTATATTTAATATTATTATTAACAAGGTAACTGTGTTTTAACATATATGGACAGAACATATGAAAGTTTTAAGTTGTAGATAATTTAACACTACAGTCAATAATATCTAATGTGTAAAAAAAAATTTAATTAGATATTTGGGTTATTTCTTTTTCCTAATATTTTCTAAAACATTTAAAATGATCCAAATGTTGTAGAACACATCTCATTAGTAATGAAAAATGTCATGTTCACAGCTTCTTGTAAAACATTAGCTACAATAAAAAACAAAGCCAATTTTACTGTCCTTGTAATGCATCACTGTAATAAAACTAATTTCTATTAAATGTTTCAATAGGTTGATGTGCATTTAGATTTATGTTAGTAAGTATTGTATATTAGTTTCATCTATCATTGCTTGTTTCTTAAATACTGGTGAATATCACGGAGAACAGGTAGCCTTGAGTGAGGAGTAAAGAATACAGTGAAATGATTATTTTGCCAAATTAACATGGTGTTTTTGTTTTCTAAACCAAAAGTAAACCAAGTTTGTGTAGAAGTTTAGGATATGTCTGAGAGTTCCCTGAATTGTAACACCTTGATTTATACACATAAAAAGAGAGATGATGTACTTATATGAAGAGGTTGTTCCAAAAATGAAATCAGATAAGACAGACGGCGAACAGTGTGCTTATCGCTAACAGGCCTCCCACCTCTTTGCAGTAGGAAAGTAGCGAGAGCAGGCGGAGCCGTCCCAGGCGCAGTAGGGGTCTCGGGCGAGGCAGCACTCGGCACAGGCCCTCCCGTAAACGTCACACCTGTGCAGGGCCAGCTGCGCGACGCCCGTGGTGGAGCCAATGTAGAGCTGTTGCTGTGGGAAGAGTTTACCGTTAGGACAAAACTACCTTGTCTTTTAAATATCGTTTTCCTTAAAAAAAAAAAAAAGAAAATGTTATACTTTAGCAAGCACACATTTATCTTTGTGGGTTTAAAATATTTCATTTCTGGTAATTTTTTCAAAGGCCTGGCAGAAAATGTGACCATCTAAAATACAGCAAGGTCGAAATCCATATATTTGACTGAAACAGGTATATTTTATAAGGGAAGATAAAGGAAGACAGGAGTAGCTACATGTCAATTAAATCTCATGAAAATAAAAAATTTTTAAATGACATTACTGAGCAATGTAAAGTTCAAACCTTCAGTTTGCTCTTAGCTTGCTTTTTAAACTTCTGCTGTTTATAATTTTGATTAACCAGGTTACCTACCCTGCAATGTATTCTGATTGGTTTTGAGGCAGGGATCTTTTGCTTTCCACTCTTAGGTACTTTCACGGTTCAGTTTGCCCTCCTATAAGAAGGGGAAGGGTGAAGTTTTGGGGCTTGTATTGGTAAGGAGCTTTGCTCAATTTTAATCATCTTGCCTTTGCACTACCTCCAGAAGACTACTTTAAACAAAAGTACTCAATTAACTTCTCACTCAAAGATCAGCGTCTAAGGGAATCAAGTACACACTGGTTGGTGCCATGGACTTGAACAGAAAGTTCAAATGTCGTCAAAAAAGTGGGATACTGGGCATCAACATATCTGGTTTCTAGGTCTTGCCTGACATTAACTCTCTGTTAATCTTGGGATATTCACATAATTTTCCTAACACTTAACTTCCTTATTCATAAAATAAGCATGTTTAACTAGAGCTTCAAAGTATGCATCCAAATAAAACATCTATGCTGGCATTATTCTCAATGAATCTGAAGTTATCAAAGGAGCTAGAATTGGAGGGAAAAAAGTTTTCTAGCAACGATTAATTTAGGTTTTCGATACATGTTAAAAAATACCTTTAACAAAGTTGCCCAATGTAGCATATCAGTTGCAAATTTATGTAAACACAAAATGGAATACAAATAAAACTGTTTTGTGATTGTTCTACATTTTACTATCACTATATAGTAAACTATATACTATACTAGCTCCCTTTTCTTGTACTAGATGATTGAATAATTATAATAAATATTAAGTAAACGTGAAAAATTTTATGTACTGAAACACAATAGTATGTATAAAAAAGACCCCAAAAGTGTATTTTAATTTCTCCACTATAGAAAAGAATAGTTACAGAAAAGCCCATCTTGGAACCATGGCGTGCTCTTTTAGTATTACAAGTTGCCTATCAGTAAGCAATGGATATAATTCAAATCACATTTCTAGTTGGCTTTCAAAGATGAACTACATATGGCAGATATGTTTGAATGAAGATAAAGTATCTATTAGAATCTAAGAAATTATTGAGGGTAAGGAGCATTTTATAGAAAATAATTATAGGCTTAAAGCTAACCAATTTACTTATATTAACACAAAACAGGGGAAAGGGGGAAGAAATAATACAATAAAAACTGAACTGTTATGGAGGTAGTAATCCTGATAAATATTACTTAACCATTTCAGTAAAGTGAAGAATATTTATTTTAAATAATACTCCAGTATGAATAATATTCCAGTAAAGTGAAGAATATTTATTTTAAATAATATTCCAGTATGGAATATGGTATACATTATAGACGTTCAACTTCTCAGTATATTCACCTTGTATTTTTATATTGTAAGATGCTACAAACCACAGCAAATTAAGAAACGACATAAAGTCTCCAGGAGTAAAAGATGAAATATTATTAAGCCTTTTTGTTGAGAGAAAATGAGACTGATTTGTACCCCTCTTACAGCATCTACAGAACCTGTATGTGATAATATTTCTGAAATTATGATCAACTGTTAACAGAGAACTAATAGAAAGAACTTTTTTCCCTCCTATTATTTCTCTCTTCCAAAAGCACCTTTAAAAAAATGACCTTAGATTGTATGGGGAGGTGGGAGGGGGTAGATTTATGGAGAGAGTAACATGGAAACTTACAATATCATATGTAAAATAGAGAGCCACTGGCAACCTGCTAACTGCCTCAGGGAACTCAGACTGGGGCTCTGTGACGATCTAGAAGGGTGGGATGGGGAGGGAGATGGAGGGAGGTTCCAGAAAGAGCGGACATGGTGTACCTACGGCTGATTCTTGTTGATGTTTGACAGAAAATTAAGTGGCAAAAAAAAGAAGGCAAGAAATCTCAACGTGATAAAAAAAAGAAACCACCATAATATTTAAATGATAAATTAGTTAAAATGAGGTAGCAGTATCTAGAAGCATGTCTGGCATTGGTGAATATTAGATATGCCAAACCATATACTGTGGACATAACTAAAAAGCAGTTGAACAAGTTGGTCATACATAAGAAAAATATTTCTATGTTTGACCAATAAGTTTTAAGAAGCATGAAAAAACTTCATACTTATAGATTTCTAAGAACATGGCATTGAGTAATAAAGGAGTTGTTATCCAAATAATAAATTCTACATCTGTCAGATCCCTTTAGCAGAAAATCAGATAAATAATACCTGAGAAAAATATGAAATAAAAAATATGGCAACTGAAATCATTGTAATGAAAACCTAAAGTGCGATAAAATGGCAAAAATTTAATACAATCAATGTAGTTTTCATTTTATAATTATTCCACTGTACTATTAATGATTTGCAAATAAATTATGCCATCTAAATGAAATGTAGGGGAGGCTTGCAGGCACCATTGAGCATAATCCAGTCACCAGCAAATAACCTGATGTGCTTTTTCTGCCCAATTTAACATCACCACAGGCTTTCTCACTATCCTTCTTAACAAGTTGCAGGTCATAAGCAGGATATGAGTCCATTTATCCATAAAATTAGTTGCAACACGTTTGTCCCTCTTGATACTACTGCCTCACTTTTAAAATTTCCATAAGCATAAAGGAAATTGAGTCACATCTGAATGAAATCAAACTCCAGTAATGGAAAATGAAGGCTAGAGTTACTTTCTTCTAACCTAGTATTTTAGGTTGATAAATTGTTTTTGCTTTTTGGTAAAATGTGTTGCATTTAATGGGCCATTCTTAAGGTAGGGTAAAAAATGTTAAAACAGAAACAGATGGTTTACAAAACTGAATGCAATGTGATTAAGACTGACGAAGTCTAGCAGAGAATAAGTAAATAGTTTTAAAAATCATTATAGGAAAGAATATCCCAGTGTAGCTCCCATCCTGGAACTCCCCGGATTTCCTTGCCAACATTTGACAATTTTTAGATTACAAGAACAGGTGAACACATACTTATGAAGTATAAGATAACAGTATCAGGTCAATAATATCTGTACTCTGGATTTCTCTAAATATCTTGGAGATTATCAATGTAGTTTGATACAAATGTGTTGAAAAGGTATCTACTAAGTTTTACTAGCACAGTATTTTAGCATGTTGCCTGACAAAAAATAGCATGGTTAGAGATAAAACATGTAAGTAAGATTTGCCACCAGAAATAAGATCTGTCAAATCAGGCTCATATTAAACAATTTTGTATGTAAGTTTTCACTTCAGCGAGTGAGAAGCTCCCAACTACTTTTTTGACTATTTCTCCTAGGTTATTTAATAATTAATTTCAATTCAGTCTCCAAGTCACTTTTGTAAAGTTAACTTTGGTATACTCATAGAAAGGCTAGGTAACATTTTTGCAGAAAAGATAATTCATTAGAAGTTAAAATCATATTTGCTTTTCCATTATCATTCAGCATTTAGAATCCATTTGCATTTCTTAAGAGTCCTGCCAAAGCATTCATTCAACAGGAATGAGAAGACTATTAACATGCTGTCCTCAAGCTTTGAATTCAAGGAGTTTAGTAATTTATCATTTGGCAGTGACTGTTTTTGCTGTTTCCCTTTTTATTTAGCCAAACTAAATGTTTTCTCTAGCTCATACTACTGAAAGTGTAAAATTAACTAAGTCAAAATTCTCAAAAATACACTGTCTAGTGCATGATTTTATTAGCCTGTATAATACAGTTTGTTTATACATGTAAATTAAATTATATATTTATTTGTATTCTGAATCATTCACCTATGTTATTTCAAAGGATATACAGATGAAAATATCAGTTATTACTGAGGAAATTATGTTACAATGGCCAAGAAAGAAATACTATAAATGGAAACTTACAATAAATAGTGATTTAAGAGGCCTTCCCTGGTGGCTCAGCACTAAAGACTCCATCTGCCATGCAGGAGCCCCAGGAGATCTAGGTTCAATCCCTGGGTTGGGAATATTCCCTGGAGAAGGACATGGCAACCCACCCTAATACTCTTGCCTGGAAAATCCCACGGACAGAGAACTCTGGTGGGCTCTAGTACATAGGGTCACAAAGAATCAGAGACGACTGAAGCGACATTGCATGCGTATGATCTAATAAATATAATTATAGGACTTATGTGTGTGCAAGGGTGCTAAGTCGCTTCAGTCGTGCCCAACTCTCTGCGACCCTATGGACCATAGCCTAACAATCTACTCAGTCCATGAATTCTCTAGGCAAGAATATTGGAGTGGGTTGCCATGTCCTCCTCCAGGGGGTCTTCCTGACCTAAGGATCCACCCTGCCTCTCTTAAGGCTCCTGCATTGGTAGTTGGGTTCTTTACCACTAGCACCACCTGGGAAGCCCATAGGACATATATGAGACTGGTCAAAAGAATGAGGGCAATGAAATTATCTTTAGTTTTCATTCTGCTAGACTTCCCTGGTGGCTCAGATGGTAAAGCGTCTGCCTACAATGTGGGAGACCAGGGTTCAATCCCTGGGTTGGGAAGATCCCTTGGAGAAGGAAATGGCAACCCACTCCAGTATTCTTGCCTGGAAAATCCCATGGATGGAGAAGCCTGATAGGCTACAGTCCATGGGGTCCCAAAGAGTTGGACACAACTTAGCCACTTCACTTTCACTTTCATTCTGCTATTTATAGTAAGAATGTTTTTTTTTCCTCTTGCTTTTTGAACAACTGTTAATAAACCTATAAATTTTTATGGAACACAAATATATTTATCTATTTGAAACAAAGTTAACAAAGTATAGATTACCAATTGTAATGTATAATGTTATTACCTGCTTAGTGGAAAGCTCCATTGCTGAAATAGTAGTTGGTTCCTAAAGAAGAAAAAGAAAATGTGAAATGTTCAGTCAATTAGGAAAGTTACAGAATGTCAACATAAACTTTCAGAAAGATAATTTTAATGCCTACAATAAACAATTGGGAAAAATAAAACATGTGAAAGAAATTGCATAGACAAGTGTTCTATGTGTGGAGCAGACAATATGTGCATCCTCCAGTTAAAGACCATCAAGAACATACCTGTGGATCAAGTTGGGTGGACTGCTCACTATGATAAAGGAGACTGTGGGGAGACTCAGTAAGAGAGAGATGGAAAGGACTTAATATGTTTTGGACTTGTGTGAAGTGATTTGAGGGAGGGTTCCAGGAAGTAGGGTATTGCTTTAAATTGGATGCTGTCACAAAGCAAAGGTAATTCTATGATTAGGTATCTTCATAAATTTTATTTAGAAGAAGGAAAAAAACAGAGTGAAACTAGAGCAGTTATTGGGAAAGTAGCAATCACTCACTAGGGCAGATAGGGAGATTGTTCATTTTTATAGTTTGGACAATGTTTATGTTCTTTTCTGTGTTCAGATATGATTACAGAATGGACTTGTTACTGTTTTGGTTCATCATGGTCTGAGAATAGCCCCGTCTGATGTCGGGGTTCTGTGAAAATGTGTATGTTCAACTGGAGAACACTGTGGCTGAGGTGAGAATGTCAGACCAACTCCTAATAGCACCAAGGATGAGTTGAGGGTATAGATCCAGTTTCCAGCTGGCAAGAACTGTGAGAGCTTGGGCTGAGATGTTGCTTCATTATTATTAAAATGACTATTTAAGGTGCAAAGGTCTACATTCAGGTCTCTGCTGAAGAACATAATCTCTTTAATTTCTACCAACAGACTAATTTATAGAAGTCATGACTAGAGAAGAAATAATCTCCAGGACACTTATTAAAGTATTCTGTTCAAGGCTATTATGAGCATATGTAGGCTGCATAAATAAATGCTGCTCTTTGATGAACTCAGACCACCAAAATACTATTTACCTAAACACATTTGAGTATGTTCTCTTAGATTCATTTTCACTGAACTCCGATCCATCCTGTTTCACCAGTGGCAAACACAACACTAACAAGAGATGGCTTGGGCGGTTTTAGAGAAAGGTAATGAGAAGGAGGCTTAGACAGGATGAACAAAATCCTGAAAGTTCTCTCTCTGTAAGTGCCTGAAGTCATGCCCTGAAGAAATTGTAAAGAGTCGGACTCAGGGCTCAAACTGTATAAATTCAAATGGTAGTAACACAAATCTTGTCAGAAGGTTATTAGGTGTGGTATAAAAACTATTTCTAATTTAATTTTCTCATCTGAAAAATAAACACAATGGCATCTGCTGCATAGGACTGCTATAATGATAACATTAATTACTAAATGTAAAATACTTTGCAAACATGTTTGTCACATAGTGTTTATTCAAATCTCTCCTATCTCTCACATGCACATACATATATGGCACACACACACATTCTCATATCCTTCCTTAGCTTCAGGTTTTCTCTTCAGTGCTTATCACTATCTAGAAATACATATATATGACTTTTTTTAAGTATATGATTTATAGGTGATTTTATCTTCTGTCTTATGCATTTCTTCCTATGCCTCAAAGTTCTTATCTAAAGGTAGGGAGGAGGACTGAGAGGAAGGAGGAAAAGCCAATAAAAAGGCTGGTCACGCAAGTCACCACTGAGAAAATCTGAGGATAGTAGACAATGACTCTCTCAAAGCTATCCACTGAGGTTAGTACCAAGAAAAGTTACACATTGCATCATCACAGGGCTGTTAAATCTCCCAGACCCCTAGTTGTGACTATTGCTTGCCCTTTTGCCTGTCAGAGAAGTATGGGGGAAAGAAGTGAAAGATACACAGTGGGAATTATAGGTTAGGCTGATAGGATGTGAGGACAGTGGAAGAGGCATGTCATGTTTTCTTAACTATCTTTCTTGCCCCAAGCCTTCCCCAATCGCCTACCACCCAGTGCTAATTTAGCACAGGGATTTTTGGCTGTTTAGTTCACTGCCATATACCTGGGATTGCTTATCCTACAGCTGTCCCTTGAATAAAAGAGGTTTGAATTTTGCGGGTCCACAAAGACATGGATTTTTTTCAACAGTTAATACTGCAGTGCTACACCATCAACAGTTGGATGAATCCACGCATGCAAAACCAGAGATATGGAGGGCCAATTGCAAATTTATACTCAGATTTTCCCCTGCACAGAGGGTTGGTGCCTCTAACCCCCAAAGTTGTTCAAAGGTCAACTATATTTACAAGTTTTTGATAATTATTTATTAAATAATGGAATGAACAAATGAATTCCCTACAAATTTCCCCCTTTCTCTTATCTCTTTTACTCTCTCCATTATACTCTGTTCCTCCCACTGAATTTGTATGAGATACAGGGAGCCAACTTTTTAAAAAAGTTTTTCCTCAATGCGTCAAGCTTATCTGTATTTTATTTGAAAATAACCTGACTATTCTATACGCTCCACCTTTGCTGGTTCAAGTCTCACTCAGTGCCGTTCACCCCTCTGCCCGCTGAGTCTAGGTCTTACTTTAGGGAGAAGGCCTGCGATTTTCAGGAGGAGGAATCACTGATAACCTGTAGTGCTGAATGGAAGCTTTCAGTCTATTGTTCTTACTGGACTTCCTGTTTGATATAGCACTAGTGACCACTCAATTCTTGACTGCTTCCTCTATTTAGATTTCATTATGCCTTGGAACTCTTTATTAACTATTCTTAATTTTTTCAGAGTTTTTTGTATCTCTAGTCATTCTTCATATGTTTGCCTTCCCTTACTGACTCCTATTCACTCCTCCTTAGATGCTACATTCTTTTCCTGATGGGCTTATCCACTCTTCTGGTTTTAATTACCTCCTATGTGCTATGGAATTGCAGATTTCCACTTTGAACCCTGATATCTAAGCTGAGCATAGAATTTTCTTAACAGATTTAAGACTACCTGCCTGAGACATAAGTGAGACAAATGATTTAGGATGTAAATTAATTTGATAGGATAATTTAGAATTGCCCCATAGTTACCCATTTTCATAGCTTAATGATATTAAAGGTAACAATTTCCTACAGGAACTATCAATCAGAAAGACAACTATGATGAAAGGAATATCTACCAATTTTCTCTATATAGAAATAAGATTTTAGGAATTTAGTCCATCAAATCACAAAAATCAAGGGACCAAATCATCATAGATTTTTAGTTTTAAAAGACAAAACTGATTGTTGTATTTAAGTTTACATAATATTGGAATCAGTGAATCCAAACTAAGAATTTAAAGCAGAAAAATATTCCACAGCAGCTTCTTCCATTCCAACAGCTTCACAGGGAAAATGCTTATGTTGTTATGTATGTAATCAGCTAACCTCATGGAGACTTTTGCAAAATAAATTCTATAGCCAAGATGCAAGGAAAGTACTTCTTAGAGAATTAACAGGTAGTATGATTAAAATGAAAGTTAGCCACATCTAGGTTCTTTTTGAACAACTTCAGTGAAACTGTAAGTGAAGCTGGTGAATTTTCACACATTTCACATACATTGACAATACAAAATTAAAATGTCTGTAAGGTAGACTGAAATGGTCACTTTATATATAAATTGTAAAAGAAAACAAACTTCAATACATAAGAAACTCTACTGTGCCATATAATGATTTCAACGTTCTTAAATTAAGATCCTAGAATCTCTTTATTAAAAGCAGCTTACTTATATTTTAGGCCATGAAATAGTTTGGAATAGGATGTGCTATATGCTGCCTGTGGTTGAATTTTAACAGACAATATATTAAGATGACATCCATTTAAATAAGCTATTTTTTTTCTGAGCCCTAGTTGGAAGTGAATATGACTTCCATTTAAAACAGATGTAGCTTTATAAGCATTTTTTCATGAAACTGGTTTTAATTGCAAATTTAACTGGAGTTTGAGTAAAAATGAAATTAAAAACTTAGCATCTTTTCAAGATTTTCTATGACTCTAATTTGCTATATATATATATATTTTTTCAGATATTTTAAATCTAGTCCTTATTAAACTTTCACACTTGCAGAGCTTTTCAACCTGCTGATCCCAGGAGAATCAGACAGCACTCCCTGGATGCTAAGCATGCTGAAGCTCTCTTAGAATGAGTTAACAGACTAGGTTTTGGAAAGCATCAATTATGTTTTACATTTGAATGAAAATTAAACTCTTTCATTTGTTTGCTCAGCTGTTCATGGAATACTGCATAAATTGGGCTTAAAATGAATGCATTATCTATGTAAATGCCTTGCAATCCTTTGCAGTCAACAGCAGTATAAATAAAATCCGCTGTACTAAATGCATTGCAACTTGATGTAACCAGCCACTGTATCAAAAGTAAAACCCTCCTTGGACTGGAAAAAAAAAAAAATCTCAAGTGCATAAAGTAAAAATCAGCATACTTCTAGTTTTCGTAGCTTTTGAATGTTTTTAACAAGGTATAGATTTAGAATTTTCAAGCAATTATTTTAAATGAGATTGTCATTTATTTAACTAGTTAATAACAGCTACAATTGACTAGTAACCTTAATTAGAAAAACAAAAAAACTGATGAAATGAAGAAGTTGAGGCTCAACTGACTTTCACCAATTTGTTTGGAATATCACTGTAATTGAGATTTAAACACAAGTTTATGTTACAAGTAATATTTGAAATAGGTTTGTGTCTTAGTACCTTAATACCATTTTGGATATATGATAGCTATTTAAAGTAATTTCTAGAGTCCTATGAAAATGAAAGTGTTAACTGCTCAACTGTGTCCGACTCTTTGTCCATGAAATTCTCCAGGCAAGAATACTGAAGTGGGTAGCCCACTCTCTTCTCCAGTAAGATTCCTTACTGTCTGAGCCGCCTGGGAAGCCAATTTATTTCATCTCTTATTTCCCACTAAAATTTTACTCTAAAATGGAAATTTTATCACTGAGGAATATTCTTCATATTATACTCTGGTTGGGATTTGATTTTACCCAGAATAAAAGTGTCTTAGATGAAACTAGAACCACTGGAATGTCCTGTGATTAGCCAGGGTGTTTTCCTAAAACCAACCTCAAAATGGCAATGGACACAGTACTGGCTTTAATTAGAATTTTATGTGAGGTTGGTTATTCAGTCTAGCAAAGATACATAATGAATATGGTCTCCTGGAGATGATATTATGGTAAAATTAACTGTCTGGTTGACATCAATGTCTTTCTTTTTAAAATCGAAGAGTATCAGATACCACCAGGATCCTAAATCTGTTCCTTGTCTCTTTACCTTGTCAAATCAACACAGTGCTTCAGTTAACCCTTTAAAATTTTTGTATTAAATGGAGTAACTTGCAAGGTTCAAATAAAAATAAGGAAACTCTAACATTTCTCTGATAGTTTCAGTGTATATAGAAATTGCTTTAATGTGTTGTGTTTTTTGCCCTCCTTCTGCAAAATTAAACAAAGTTTGACAGTGAAATATTCCAATTGCTAGACCACAATATATGTATGAACTTTGCCTGATAGAATAGAATGTTGAAAGTAAATATTTCTTTAAACTCTGCCCAAATACATTTTGTCTACTTGTGTGTCAGAGAAATAATAATGACAGCAATGCATGGCAGAGAACATGGGAGGGAAATGGAATATTTATCTGAGGAAGATGCGTCCCTATGTTGCAAATAATCTTTTCATAAACTCATAAACAATCATTTCCACGAAAGCATATTATTACTTATGTTAGGCAGTTAGAATAGAAACCAGGAGTCCAAAAAATAGCGGTGGCTAAAAGACAAGGAAGGGAAAAGCCCGAGAAAATAGAACAAAAGAAGGTCAAAGGAAGGTCGGAGGACCAGAGTGAGGACTTCAGGTAGAACAACACTCCTGACCAAGCCCAATTTGCACAGGACAGGCCCAGGGGGAAGAAAAAAACATATAAAAAGAGGAGCCAAGGGGCTCTCTCTGTCCCCCGCATGCATGCGCTCTTTCTCTTTCTCTTTCTCCTGCGCGCTGGGGCGCTCTTCTCTTTGCGTCTTTGGGTTGACATGCCCTCACGCCTCAACGGTGGATTTTCCTGTTATTATCTAAATAAAATAGAGCCGTAACACTGAGCCATAACACTGAGTTGTCTAAGAGCTACAAGACGATCTGTCCAAGACCCGAGAGCTGTGACACGCCGAGGGCGGCTTTAATGTTCGTCACTCCAAAGCTTTGTTGTGACAAGACAAAAACCAAGGAGCATACACTCGCCTGATACTTATTTATACCTAATTGTTAAAAACTGATAAAAAACCTCTCTCATGGCATCTTAAACCATGCAGAAATCATTCAGTAAATTATCACAGGTATAATTAGATTGTGTAATCCTTTGGAAACTGCAAAACACTAATAAAATCTAGTAGACATTAAATATTTGTGCTTGCAAGATTGTTGGCTCCCCATCTCTGAAGGTTTTGCTGAAAGTCATTTAACGGTTTGAAGTAGCATTTTTTAACTAAAACTTGTTTTGATTTACTAAAACAAAACTAGATAAGATGTGCAATATAAACTTAAAATCCCAGAGGTACAAGGAATGAAAAATAGCTAGAATACAGTATTACTACAAAATTATATATATTATGATTCATAAAATCCCAGAAAATGATAAAATGATAGAAAAAAGAACCTTATTATTTAAATGGCATGACATAGCAATGCAGTTCTACAAGAGAAAACTTAATTGCACTAATAATAAATCAGCACTTGAAACGATGAGGGATAACGTGTTAGAAAGAGTCTCTGAGCTGGGTAAGGTCAGAGACCATGTTTACAGTGTTCACCCCTGATTCACCAGAACTTAGCTCTGTGCCAGGACAAAGGTGGACATGTTTGCTTAGAGTTGAATTAGTAAATGAAACTTGTTATAATCATATACAATAACTGAAGGGGAATATGCAGAGGAACCATGACAAATCCAAAAGTAGAAGATTCTGAAAATAATTAAGAAATTCTAAAGTTAACATAATATTTTAGTATCTCCTATAACTTCATTTGCATGGTGGTGGCAATATAGATTTCTAAAAACAAATAACTGGTATAATTTTTTCTACTAGAAAATAATATGGGATATAATCAAGCAGGATAACTTGTTGCTGTTCTTTATCTTCCTCATACTCTGCCACCTCACTTTAAGGAGGGTCTCCCTAGAGAAGACTTTAAACTCCTTAATTTTTCATATTTAATTTTTTGCATAAATACTGATTTCTCTATTCATTTAACAAATGCTGGCTGAAAACATATTTTAGACTCTGGAGACCCAATGATGGATATAAGACAGAAATTTATATATCTGCCTCTTAGTGCCCATAGTTTGTTTGCTAAATCTAAATGGATTCTATATGATGACACAGTCTATTTGGATAACTGTAGTTTTGAATTTGTAGGCTAAAGCATCAATGTGTAAATTCTGAAATGGGAGGCAGTGAAAGCCAGGGGTTAGTCATCATTCTATAACAGACGAAATAAGGTCCAAGTGTTTAATTTTAAAAAATCAGAGTAGAAGTATAATGACTGTGTGATTTTAAGACTTAAACCAAGGATTAGCAGAGCAAGCTACTGTAAATGCAGCTTATATTCACTGTGGACAAACTAAAGCAAATAAAATTATATTGACGATAAGATTCTGAGCACAGTAACTAGCACTGTCCTGGATAGTCCACAGATAGTGTCTCTAATTCTTCTAGCTTCCCTGTGAGACAGGTATTATCTTCCCTGTCTATACTGATGCGAAAGCTCAGATGTACTGTTTGTAGTCCAAGCAGAACCATTATATAGGTATGACTCAAGAACCTAAGACCTTCCCAGTAGAACATTGCTTAGTTACTACTAGGTGTCTGTGTCATGATTTACCAGTTACATGTTTCAAAGCTAATTACAATTTTACTTGAATCAATATCAATTTGGAACTTGCCATATTTTACTTTATTTTTTCTCAAACAATTACTGAAATAGGGAGCAAGAGCTCTATTGAGTTAATAAGTACAGGGTTAAAAGAAGTCTTGGGAAGATTTTTCTTACAATCAAAATGTTTAATCAACTGAAAACTTCAATACAGGCGCTTCACTTTATAGATAAAGTGTCTTAGATTCTTGGAGACTAAATGAGGTAATTTGAAGTGGTGAGACTAGATCTGACATTTCTCATTTTCTGTCCACTAAATAATTCAATTTATTTTTAGTTATAAATGTCTGATTGTTTTTACCTTCTTCTATCAAAAACTGAAATAACACCTTTGATAGGCATCATTTCTGTTTGTTTCATAAATAATTCACGTCAAGGTGTGCTTCAATTCAAACTTCCTCCTAGTTGATTTTCTAAAAGGAACAACAGACTGTGTTATATGTTAAATTATTTTAGTTTTCTTCTCTCAATGCAACACATAAACTGCTGCCTCTATCCCCAATCCCTTGTATAAATTTACCTGAGCCGTAAGTGATTCATGACAAAGGGACAACTACAAGTACCTTTCTTACTTGTGAAGACTAAGAATTTGTAACAAATTTTCCACCAGTGATATAAAAACCGTGAACATTTTCTTTTGCTAACAAATGATTTCTTTAGAAAAATGTGATAAAACAACTCACAAGTAAGATTTTAAAAATTACTCAAATGTCTTCATTCCTTCATTTTGAATGTATTTCTTTAATACATTCATGGAAGTTATCTGTCACCCCAGTTACACCATAAAGTGTGAAAGAAGGGCTTTGGGAGGTGGGAGGCACACAGAGTTTGTTCAGTGAGGTAAGTTACATTAATAGTATAAAATGTAAATAATGTAATTTACCACTGAGAAAACAAAATAGGAGCCAAGGATATATTTCTTTACATTTTTAGATTTAACTAGAATTGAAAGTTCAAGGTTTATTTTGACTGGTGTCTGGCTTTTTAATTGACAAGCTAATTAGAAGGGTATGCTAGACTACTTGTGCATACCGCGATCAGTGTGCAGCTGTCCTGGGGAAGGACATACAAGTGAACTTGTCGACACTTGAAATTAAACAGCACTCACCCGGAAAACTGTCATTTCTTCAAGCAGAACTTCTTCTAAATCATGCCAGGTCTCCTTAGGAATTGAAACTACTTTAAGAACAGTTCCAACATCTTTGAAAGAAAGTAGAGAACACCACAATTTAAACAGATCTGAAGAGAGTTTAGTGTTAATAAATTATATCAGTAATTGAAAAGAAAGAATGACATTTTAACGTCAGCATTTTAAAATTTATTTTATTGTTTTAGCACTAGTAATATATATTCAAATGCATTTCATGAAACTAGATAAAATAAAATTAGTTATGGAATAAAACTAATTGAATTTTTTAGAAATATATGAAGCTTTGAAGGTGGCTTTATTCTAAACCTATAAAATAATCATTAGGTTGGATTCTTTTAAATCTCAATTATCAGGTGTCTCAAAAAAAAAGCTAAATTAAAAATAGTATCAATTTGACAGTATGGGGCCTTCTCAAAAACTAAAATCAGAACAACAATACTCCTGGGTACATATCAGAAAAGAACCAAGAACACTAACTTAAAAAGATACATGCACTCCCATGTTCACAGTAGTATTATTTACAACTACACCAAGGTATGCACATAACCCAGGTGTCTATCAACAGATGAATGGATAAAGAAGATGTGGTACATGTATATACAACGGAATACTACTCAGCCATAAAAAGAAAGAAATTTTGCCATTTATAGCAATATTGATGGACTTGGAGGGCATTATGCTAAGTAAAATGAGTCAGACAAACACTATCTATCTTATATGTGGAATCTAAAAAATACAGCAAACTAGAATATAACAAAAGAATAAGCAGACTCACAGATATAGAGGACAAAATGAGTGGCTAACAGCAGGAAGAGAGAATGGGGGAGGGACAGATAGGGGTAGGAGCAAAAAAGGATTATTATGGGGTTATGTGGAATCATCTGTGTGAAACTCTTGAAAATTTTCAAGCACTATAGAAACTGAAGAATCTTTCATCCAATAAGAAATAAAAAAGAAGAAAAATTACACTTTGACATGACAAGTTTTTCTCCTTCTTGTCATGAAATCAGGAACTACTATCAATATTTAATATTCAAGCAAAATGGAAGCAATGTTGTCAAGCAACAAAAGTAGCTGAACTTCAGAGCCTGACTGCTCATCATCTTCCCATGAGGAAGCCTTTAGTACTTAGAGGTGCCTAAAAAGACAGCTCAATGACCATTTAGTGCTAAATGATAATAATCTGACTTCTCATAATAAATACTGGATTACTTATTAGAGTGGTTTTTCAATAATTGGCCTAATCAATTTGGCTTTGGTTTAATTAACATATTAACATATTAGAGTGCTAAAAATTCATCACTATAAATAATAAACTATAAATAATAAAAACTGTTAAACTGAATACATTTTAATAGAGATTTCAAGTACTGTTTATTCATTGCTAAAAGATACAAAGTGTTTTAATGGTAAGAGTTGCCACTTTTACTCTAAGTTGGGTTAAAAAGCTACTTTGTGTACATGCTCAGTTGTGTCTGACTCTTGCAACCCCCACCAGCATTTCGGTCCATGGAAGTTTCCAGGCATGAATACTGGACTGGGTTACCACTTCCAATTCCAGGGTCTCTTCCCAACCCAGGGATCTAACCCACATCTCTTGCATCTCCTGCATTGGCATGCATATTCTTTACCAACCTTACTAACTACATCACCTGGGAAGCCTACTAATTTTCCAGTATTTAGAGATGCATTCCTATTCTTGATAGAAGAACGAACAGGGATTTATTAAATTCAAAAATTTGACTCTTTGACATTCCATTTCATCAGATGATCAATTATTTTTAGATATGGATGGCTCATTTTAATCAAATTTAACAGACAAATTATTTGAGAAGAAAAATCTTGTCTGTAAAAAATGTTACATCATAAAAATAATCCAAAGTATTCATACCACAGATAACTATTTTCAGGGGATCAATATGATGTGGTATGTAAGCTCAAGAAAGGCTGCTAGTGTATCCCTTGTAAAGTTTTTTTAAAAGTCCTCTTTTAAGAGGGTCTTTCTATGTTTACAGGACCTTGGACTACTCATAACACCAAAGATTAAAGGTAAATTAGGTTAATCTACTCTGTGCCTCTGATCAGTCTCCAGTATCCAAACATAACCTTATCTGTGTTCCAGATCAAGTTTTACTGAGTAGTATTTCAAACAATTTCACACAAATTGAATCAGATTACTCAACCAGGATCAGTGTGCAACTTAGTTAAAAGGTAAAATTACTGTAATCAATTTACTTTGCTGACAGATGACCCTGCTCTGTGCTGACCAATAGCCATCCACAACATCAGATGTTCAACATGCTCATAAAATTGGTTCCTTTAAAGACAGCTTGTGTCCCAAGAAGAATTGAAAACTCATGCTTGGATTTCTTTGGTCAAACTGCCAGAAGCAAGCTTTTGTTGCACTGACAATGAGTGGGGGACTTTTCAACATTAAAGGCCAGAGGTGAAGAAAAAAGCAAGTGTGACTTTATCGAACAAGCTTAACTACTCTGTAGAGAGATCTAATTATAATTTGACATTAAATGACAAACTAATATTTATTGAAGAGAAATCCAATCATCTTATATTTTCTCAAGATATTTATAACCAGAAGTTCATACTTGCAATTCATTGACTTTTACTGAACTCCAAGTCTCACTGGGATTCTTTAATTTGATAGAGAAACTTTCTCCCTCATAAAAGGAAACCATAATGTATTGCTCAGAATCTGACACTGTTACACCTGATAACATAAGTATTTCACAATTTTGTTATAAAACTTTAAGTCTTCAAAGCACTTACTGCACAGGTGCCATTCCCCTATAGTTAATGCAATTTTTTTTTCTCTGTTTTTCACCAAGGGAAAATAAATGTTATTACACAAGGTTTCAGTGGAGCACTCACTCGGTTTCCCACTGATTTATGTCAGTTAACGTTAATGGAGACCAGGAATTTATTACCTTGGAATCTGACCCTAAGTAGCAAGTTTCAGATTTGTAACTGGTGCTTTCAAAATAGTATTATTAAAGAGAGTAGAGGGGAAATAGAGTAATATGTTATAATAGTAATGGAATTCATTCTGAAAATATACCTACCTACAAAATACTTGTTTCAGTCACAGAATTGGTAAGATATACTGTTAAATTTATACAGCAATGAATCTAAAATGTATATGCTGATTCCTTATGTCCACTTTGTTGCTTTTCTGATGAAGTTTGGTTTGCTTTGTTTTGTTTCTCATTGTATAGTAAACACACTAAACAAATTTGTATTGCCAAAATTTGTTTTCTGGAAGATTTTTTGCACTCTATGATAATTTTAAAGTTCAGATAGTTTTGCATAAATATATTCTAGAACATTTAATGACTGTCTTGGGAATTTTATGCATGGTTTGAACAATATCTTTGTCCTGAAAGACCTCTGGTCAAAAAAGAGTTATGACTCAGTTATAGACGCTGACTATTCACCTAATCATTATCTTCACCTGATTAAATTGATTAACTATTGACTGAAAAGGAAATTTAAGTTAACAATGTCAACTTGTCTAAAAACATGACACATTAGAATGGGACAATGTTTAGGGTTTTTTTTTTAGTCATTTATTAGAGGTTAACTATACCTTGAGCCTGGAGAAGGAAATAGCAACCCACTCCAGTGTTCTTGCCTGGAGAATCCCAGGGACTGGGGAGCCTGATGGGCTGCCGTCTATGGGGTCGCACAGAGTCGCACACAACTGAAGCGACTCAGTAGCAGCAGCAGCATATCTTGAGTCCCAGTTCGATTCCTGGGTTGGGAAGATCCCCTGGAGAAAGGATAGCCTACCCAATCCACTATTCTGGGCTTCCCTGGTGGCTCAGATGGTAAAGAATCCACCTGCCATGTGGGAGATCTGGGTTGGATCCCTGTTTGGCAAGATCCCATGGAAGAGGGCATGGCAACCCACTCCAGTATTCTTGCTGAGAGAATCCTTATGGACAGAGGAGCCTGACAGGCTACAGTCCATGGGGTCGTGAAGAATCAGACAGGAGTGAGTGACTAAGGACAGCACAGTATACCTTGAGAGTGACTATAAAACATTCCTTCAGTTTTCAGTATACTTAATTAGTTAAATGCAATGTTCTGGAAGAACATTTAGAGCTGAAGTTAAAACATTTACCTGTTCCAATAAACATGACATCATACTGGCCATCTTCTGCATCCACTCGATCTACCACAATTTGTGTAAACTGATAATTTACATCTGTTTTGATCATTATCGGCCGGTTATTGATAGGAAATACTGGATTGTACATGGCTGGATGACTTCTTGCAAATGTTATAACGTCATCAGGAAGGTCTTTGGTAGAGTCAAATCCACCAAATGTTTTACTGGGACACTATTAAAATAAAGAGAATAATATCTTTTGATTACAATATAATGAATAGGATTATAATTTATATATTATATGGCCTCAATTGTCTAGAATTTAAATCTGCAATTTTTTAAATTTAAGTAACTGTTAAACTAAAAAATAAAATAATGTTACTTAAGTTAGTAGATATAATATGTAGTATATATTTTCTAAACATATCTTAAGTCTCAATGGGATGTCATCATTTCTCACCAAGAACTATAAATGTATCTAATGAACTCAGGATACAGAAGTCTGATGCCTTTTATTAGTGACAATACCATCTACTTTACGTTATCAATGAAGAATTTGAAATAGCGAATGAAATATGACAATGCAATTAATCATTAGTTTAGAAAAAGTCAATCATTTTCTTGGATACATTCATATTTCCCTATGATATCATGCTAAACATAAATATGTTCCTTTCAAATTAACGGAATATAAACTATTCTTTATTGCTTTATTTTAATATAACCTGGAAAAAAGTACAAAAGTATCAAAAATATTATTTCATTAATAATTACAGTAACTTTAGGGAACAGAAGATGTGTTATTCAAAGTGTTTACCAACTTGTACAGCACAGAAACTGACCAAACACACTGCACCAAGCAGAAAAGATGATAGCCATCGAAAGCCAGACAGAATGCAGTGTCGTATACTGCAACAACATCACCTCTGATTTAAACGCTCCATTTAAGGCAATAAAACAAAAACAAGAAAATTCCGACTTTAGCCTGTCTCTTTTCATTGCATTTAATTATATGGTAAAAGCTTTTAGAGTACAATATCACCGTTTCTTGCTTTTTTGCCTTACACTTAGGTAATTTCTGCCATTTAGTTTAAGAGTTTGAAAGCTGAAATGTAATTAAGTGGTTCCTGATCTTGCAAGAGGCTTAGAAGGAGAAATCAATTGTCTTTGCCATTACCTTGATACAGATCATTAATAATTCATGAGAAATGAAATAAATAAAATTTGTTTTGAAATGGGAAAGTGTCTATCTATCTATGAATATATATGTATATAGTAACCAGATATGCACAGAATAACACATTAATATATCAGTTAGGGGATTTAGGGAATTATTTCTGTTTTAGTAAATTTAAAAAAATATTTATTTAATGAAATATCAAGTAGCTGTATAGCTGTATAAACTCCTCAAAGAAACAATAAAACATATTTTATGACATTAATTTTTTTTGCTTTTCTACCACCATTTAGAAATAATTTGCAAAAACTTAGAAATGTAAGATTGCACATTAAGAGATTTATTTATTTTAGATTTTTATCTTACAATCTGTCTCATTCTCTTGCCTTACTTTTATCATTGTATTTAGTACTACTTAAGATGTAGGTTTTTGTTTAAGAATAAAGGAAATGCCATTCTATTGACACACCGTTTGAAGGCCACTTACTGTGTTTTTCTCCAGCAGTGTTGATGGAATGACATATTCTCAGAAGCCCACTTTTGAAATTAATGGATTCATCTAAGTGAATTTTATTCACAGAGCAAGGTGCTATCTCCTCTTGGAAGCCCTTCTCTAACTCTTGGCTTAGAGAAGGAATTAAGGCCTTCTGCCTTTTGCCTCCAGCACTTGGTGCAAATTGCTGCCATGATTTCCCATGTTATAACAACTATCTGTGAATAATGGGTGAGAATTCAGGCTCTAGAACCAAACTGCCTGAATAGTCCTGGCTCCTTTCTTTGCCTCAGAGTCTTGATCTGTAAGATGGGGACAATAATTGGGCTACTGAATATAATACACATACATATATAAATAGGCCTGACACACAAAAAATTTTAATTGCTATTAATTCTAAATACACTGTAGACATCTTCACATCAAATACTCGGTAGCTCCAAATATCAGCACAGTATCTAATGAAAGACTTTCACCAAGTTTGTTGAAGTAAGCCCAGAGCAAGTGTATAATTAGAATATACTGACATTAATTAGTCACAGAGATAAAAACAGCTGTAAGTTATAAAACTGTCCATCAACAAAGTAAAATAGTTTATCGTTAAGAAATGGAGTAAATATCATATGCATTTTCATAAAACCATTTGGCTTCTTACAATCAATGGATATTCTATCTTGTTCATTTATTCTTCTGAAAAATCTATTTAATTTTTTATTTACAAAATCCATCAATTTTTATTTACAAGATCCACCAACTATAAGTAATCTTTATGAAATGCTAGTATGTTTAGTAATACAGAAAACAATTAAGATTAAAAGCATTCTATGTCCAATAAAATCATATAAAAACAGCATTTACTTGAATTAAACAATAAAACTCACGTGAAGTTAAACAAACCATAAAATTTAAAGAACAAGATTTTTCATTATATGAAATTATTTCCTTAAAGATTTTTAGGGCTAGAAAATGTTGCACTGGATGAATCCATCCACATATTTTAGAATTTCTGACATCACATTGATGACTTTGCTTACTTTTGACCATACTGATCTTTCCTTTTTTTTCTCCCTACTTTAAACTGTAGGCTTAAATCTGGTTTTATTTTGAGCTCTGTCCAACTTTTTTGAGCTGGAGTGTGCCTAGGACTGCTGGAGGAGAGGGGTCAATGAGAGTAGACAGCATCCCCTAAAATATGGGGGCCCTGTTCCACAAAGTATTTTTATTTCTTGCATATCTTCTTTACCTATTTGAGGGATTTTCACAGGAAGAAAATACTGTTTAAAAACGTTTTCCTCCTATTTAATGGGCAATTCTTGAGCTTTCACCACAGTCAAAGAGAACAAACCCAGGTGTATCTTAACTGTCTCAGCTCTCCATGAAAGCCATTTTTACTATATCCCTTTCAGAAAAGAAAATAAATAAAGCTATCTGTTCAGTTTCTATTTCTCAGAAATTATGGGTAATAACTACTGGTAGGCACTGAAATTAAACACTGATGCCTCTGAAGAACGTATCGTTAAATGTGGATTTCAAGGTATCAGACAAAATCCTCATCCTGCTTTCATTTATAGTCTTGGAATCATTGTTTTATATGATCTGCATTAAATATGTGTTATAGCTGCTTTTTTGTTAAGTCTTCAGCATAAATGTATTCATTTCCCATCTTGAACACCTAGATCACTTACAGTTCCTGGTCGTGGGTAGGGGACTCTTCCTTGATAAGGCACCCACTGGTAGTTGGGACCATCCCTGTGAGCATATGGTCCAAGGAACACCCTTCTCACATCACTCATGCTATACATGCACACGGCTGACCCCTTGAAGATGTTACTAAAGAAGAGAGAACAAAAACAGAATTTCATTTTTATACAGTGACAGAGCTATATATGCTGATTTCTTAAATTTCAGATAGCAATTATCAATACCTGAACATAAATTCTCAAATAGTGTTTAGTATTTTTAAAGCTGCATGTATATATATTTAAATAAGACATAAGAGAACGAATTATGATTGCTCAAAATTAGAAGGCATGGATGAAACCATCTTTAGTACTAATGTGTGCATGCTAAGTTGCTTCAGTCATGTCTGCCTCTGTGTGACACTATGGACTGCAGTCCTCCAGGCTCCTCTGTCCATGGGGTTCTCCAGGCCAGAACACTGGAGTGGGTTGCCATGTCTCCCTCTAGGGGATCTTCCTGACACAAGGATCCAACTCGCATCTCTTACATCTCCTGCATTTGCAGGCAGGTTCTTTACCACCAGCACCACCTGGGAAGACCCTAAGTTCTCATAGAATATATATATTCATATCATAAATAGACAATATATGGTACAAATATATAAATTCATATCATGTTACTTTAAAAAATTAATTGAATATGTCCAATCAAATTTTAATGGCTTTAATACTTCCAGAATAAATCAGTGTTGGACATTGTAGTTTAATCTTTCTTTATGCTATCACAGTCCTGTGCAGCACTTTTCCTGACTTTTGATTTTAAATTATTTCCCTTTTAAACATTTATACATATCCAAATAACACTATTTATATGCATGTAAATACATATTTCTTTTAGCAACTCCAGGTAATGTAAACTTTATGCTGAATAGAACTGTCAGAAAATAAGCACTGTTTGATTGACAGCAAGAGCTTTGAGGGGGATGAAAATGAGGAAAGGAGGAGGAGAAGAGAGGGGGAGGTGGAGAAGGAGGAGGGAGATGGAGGAGGTGAGGGAGAAGAAGGGTAAGCACAAGACAGAAGAGAAAGGAGAGAAGAGGAAAAAAAGATTTTTCACCCTTAGCTTATATCACTATAAACTGTTAACAAAACTCAGATTTCTATGCTTACAATATTTTATATTTCATTCAAAATTTTCAAGTCAAAGCTATACATAGGGCATGGTATACATTTCATTGTTAAATTTATAGTAATGAACTTCTTTGCTAAAATTTATGTATAAACTGATTTACATCATGACTTATTTCAAGCACCCACGAATGCACAAGAGTTCAAAGGTTAAGCAAACATTGTTCTTTCAAAAATATATTGTCACAAATATGGACACTTAAGACAGTGTCTGAAGTACATGGATTTTCTATGATAATAAAATAGTAAAATGCTATTTACCTGGAAGTTGTAAACACTCCATATACAACTGGATTTTTAGGATCTTTAGAATTCATCAGGAATACATCCTCTGTTTAAAAATAAAATTAGGGAAATTTGCATTTCTGAAGGTTATGGCAAAGCCTGAACAAGTATACTCTATGCAACATCAACATCATTAGCTACTTACGCAATTCATCAAAATGAGTGTCGATGCCATTTGGGCCTGGCACTGAGCAAATGAGACGAGCTTTGAGAAATGTTGTCCATTTATTCACCAGACTTCTGTGGCCCCCAAAGTCATTCTGAATGGAGGGAATAATGGTTTTAAAAACTGTGCATGCAAATGATAATTTCAAATATTAGTTTTATCCTCTCTTATCTTTTGTATATGAAACATACACAAAACACAATTCCTCATTTTTCAAGTTTATAAATGAATTTTAAATGACTAGATATAAGTAATTGCATTCTTATCCTACTGTTGGTCAATCTATTCATCCAAACCTGATTCAAGGAGTGACTTATAATAAATATTCCTTAGCATTAAACAGTCACTGTACTTTTTCCATTCTGTTACCACTTTGCAATGGACAATATTACTCTTGTGTCTGTTTTGGTCTGCTTTAAGTCTCTCTCTTACGTAGTAAGATTTTATTCATCTAAGTAGGTGGTTCATGGAAATAAGCACATTTGCACATAGTAGCACTTAACAGGTATTTATTGAATGAAAGAATAACTGCATGCCTCATAACCCATACTCAAAACACAACACAAAAACATGCTAAGCATTAAATACTTTTATAAGTTCAAACAGTTGAAACAATTCTGACTTTACAAATAGCATGTTGAAAATAATATCAGAAAAATTTTAGTAAAGAACTCATTCCAGAGCAACATATTGAAAAAGTAACTGCTCACTGAAAATGAAAATTAACTGTAACCCAATGTAGCAGTAAATTCTATTATGATGATATGCTTTTACTGGTAACTTCTAGTCTTTTAAAATAGTATTTATGTGCATATTTTTGAAGAAATATAACTTTTCCTCAAAATTATAACACTGATTTATATTTTGTTTATATGATTTTATTTAGTATAAAGTTTTTTTTTAACCCTTGTAAGTAGTGCTTTTAATGATGCTCTATATTTTGTGGAGAAAGAGTCTTACATATTCATATATCATTTGCATGTTTCCACATCATTAAAACTTATAATTTTCCAGTAGTTTAACATACTACAGATAAATAATTAAATCATTATTGGGGAAGAAAAGAGGTTACACCCCTCTTCTAAGATAGGGATTTGTAAAATTTCATTATTTTTTAAAAAATAATTTCATTTGAAGACAAAATTTACTTTGTCCTTATAATTTTCTTGAGATGACAGGTGCTTTAATAATATAATAACAGTTGGCTTTATTCATATTGCATATATACTATATTTTACAGTATAGAGGGTAGGAACAGTACTGTTACCATATGTTCACACTATTTAACCCATAAGTATTTACTGACCAATTTTTTATTCTATCTAACATTATAATGCATCTCACATCCAATTTTGTGCCACACAGTATATGAAAGCTCACAGTCTCAAAATTATTTATGTGTGCTCTGTATGTGCACATTGGATGCAATAAATTTATAAAAATAAGCTATGATGTTTTTTCTTTTATATTCATACTTTAGTTATTTCCAACAAAATATATTCATTGAAAACTTACACACTGTAGGAAACTTTACTAGGTCTGAGAATACAGAAATTATTTTCCAAGGTAATACAAAAAATTATTTCCCTAGAATTACAAACTATTATTATTTAATGTACTTGTGAAACAGTTGTGACAACCTCCACCTGCATGTTTGACTACGAGGTTATACATAAGCAACTGTAATATGTTTTCAATAGTTTTTGCCTTTTAAATATTTATAATGATCAGGCAGATTTTTTAGCCATATTTTTATTAGATTTGTACAAAGATGGGAAAAGGAGAAAAAAAACTGTGATTAGACAAAGATACTCTCATTTTTTCTTTACCTCACCTTGCATATCTGACCTATTCTAGCATGAGTGGCTTTTCCAGTGTGTTCTCCATCTATTGCATTTTCACGGAAGAAAAAGTACACTTTGTCATCTTCAGGGTTGTCACTCTCTGGGATGAGGTGGGCACTAATGAACCTTGGATCTGAGAGACAAATTATAGCATATATATTAATTCAAATTGGGTAAATAAGATCATTTATTATAGTCTATTTTCAATTCTCTTTTAACTCATATTTGACACATTTCAAGAGCTAATTTTCCTTGGTTCACTCTTTTTCAGCAGATGCAAACTGTTCTTTACGCATTTTAAAGTATGCTACAAATTACTTATGTTTATAAAAATTTTTTTCCAATAAAAATCAGGAATAGGTACAGAAACCCTCAGTGTGACCAGATAATGCAAATGCATTATTGGATATTAATATATTTTGTAAACTGTAAGAGCTATCAAGCATTACTTATTGCCATCATCATTGGTATTTTTTTTTAAGCATAAAATAGTTTAAGTCACACTACCAGTAGGTCTATTCCACTTTCCAGTAAAAACTGGGTGAGAAGGGAGAGATGAGATTCCTATAAAACAAAGCAAAATACGTTCTTTCAAGTTGTACCCCATCTCATTAAATGGGAATGTCATTTACTAGATACTCAAGCTCCAAACCCTGGCATCACCTTTGAGTTCTCTGTTTCTCCACAGAATAGGTCAGTGTGCACCTAGTATGTCACTACTTCTCTAAACCCTCCTATATCTTTTTGAATCACTGGCAGTAAAACACAAACTCCTTACAGTAACAAAGCCATCTATGACTGGTCCCTGCTACTCTGCATACCTTCTCGTCTACCTACCCTTCCTTCCATACCTTACTCCTAGCCAAGCATACCAATCCCTTCCTGGTTCTCAAATAGGTTCAGTTCAGTTCAGTCGCTCAGTCGTGTCTGACTCTTTGCAACCCCATGGACTTCAGTATGCCAGGCTTCCCTGTCCATCACCAACTCCTGGAGCTTGCTCAAACTCATGTCCATCAAGTCGGTGATGCCATCCAATCATCTCATCCTCTGTTGTCCCCTTCTCCTCCTGCCTTCAAACTTTCCCAGCATCAGGGTCTTTTCCAACAAGTAAGTTCTTTGCATCAGGTGGCCAAAGTATTGGAGCTTCAGTTTCAGCATCAGTCCTTCCAATGAATATGCAGGATTGATTTCCTCTAGGATTGACTGGTTTGATCTTGCAGTCCAAGAGACTCTCAAGAGTCTTCAACACTGCAGTTCAAAAGCATCAATTCTTTGGTGCTCAGCTTTCTTTAATGTCAAAATCTCACATCCATACATGACTACTGGAAAAACCACAGCTTTGACTATATGGACCTTTGTCAGCAAAGTAATGTTTCTGCTTTTTAATATGCTGTCTAGGTTGGTCATAGATTTTCTTCTAGAAAGTTATAATCAAACAAAAGTGATGATAGAAGAATAAATAAAAACACAGCAAACAGTATTTTATACTTATAGATATTCTCTTAAGTTGGTATTTGGGCATAAAAGAAGGCATTATCAAGCATCTCAGGGTTCTCAACCTGTGTGCTCTGTGACAACTTGAGAAGGGTGGGGTGGGGTGGGGGGTGGGAGGGAGGCTCCAGGTTGAATCATGCTGATGTATGGCAGAAACCAATTTAACAGTATAAAGCAATTATCCTCCAGCTCAAAATAAAGCAGAGTAAATAAAAAAAGAAGACTCTATCAAGCATCATGGTTTGTCTCTAAAATATGTGAATATAATTATCATCTTACACAGGTGGATTCTAGTGGGAAATCAAGCAAGTTATCATGTATATTCATTGTTAAAAAGCCTTCAATTCTAGTATCTCTTTAGTACCTGACACTACAGGCACAGAGGATTTGGTAGCCAAATTAAATCTGACATAACTTCAGATATGACAAAAAGTACCATTATGCACAGAAAATAATAAACATATTAAAATAGAAAAAGAATTGAAAAAACATCAATTTAATGTGACTTGTCTATAAGAAATTTAGATCATTGTCTTGAATAAAATATTCACTCTAATTTCAAAATAAATCAGGTCTTCAGTTGATGTTTTCCAAAAATTTAAAAGAAGCCATTCTTTTAATATATTGAATTTAGAAAATCTTATATATATTTATTTTTTGGCCCAAACCTTTGCTCACTATTCATTTTCTATTTCTCAGGAGCCCAAAATTTGCCTTTCTCTTCCTTGCCCCTCTCTGTTATTCTCAGTCTATTTCTCTCCTCTTTAGTGAATCCTCCTCTTCATCTAATACAGTCATGCTAATGGCCTTCCCTATCATCCTAGAACTTGGCCTCCTAAACCTCCAGTTACCTGCCTATACAACCCCAGAACTTTCCTCTCTGTCTTCATACCTAAGCAAGGATGAAGAAAATGATATAGTCTTAGTAAATGGATGTACATACATTCAAACTATTTATCCTAAATTCTAATGTTGCTAAGGAATTATTTTATTTACTTTTAGTGACTCACTTTAGATTTATTACCTGCCGCTGTTTAAAATCATTCACACTGTCTTCAAAATAACTAATGGATCATCTTTCAATTTATCCTCAAAAGATGGATTATTTATCTGCTATACCACTGAGACCAAAGCTATTTAGTAAGAACTCCCTTCTCTTGCTTCCTTCCCCACCCAATCTTTCTTTTCTTCCATTCTATGGAAGCATGATTTCTCTTCCTTTATATGTCTAAGGCGTCTCTCTATTTTCTCTCAATCCAGTAATCTACAGACTGTTGGTTGCTCCAATAAACAATCTCCCTTCTTAATACAACCTCTCACCATTTGTATTTTCATCTATCAAATATTTCCTAAGCACTTGGTCTGTGCTCTGAATTGTGGAGGATCAGGGGAAATGTTTTTTGCCTACATGGTGCTTACTGTCTGTGAGAGAGTAACAACAATTAAACACAGAAATTATTAAATTGCACATAATTTGCAAAAATAGAGAGTCTGAAATGACTGTAATGAAAAATGAAGGGAAAACTGATCTTGCTTTGATGGAATTAGGGAAAGTTTTTCTCAGAAGAAATGACATACAATTCAAGACCTGAAGAATATCTAGGAGTTTCCCAGGTAGAAGGGAACACAGGTGTGAGGTTACAGAAACCACAGAGAATTTTACGCAACAGAGGAGGGAGGTGGTCAGAGATGATGACAGAAAGTTAAGCCAAGGCCACAGTAAGAAGGAAGTTTATTGTTCAGTAGTTTATTTTCCTAATGGCTAAAAGGGGAACCAGTAAAGTAGTTTAAACCTGGTAATGACATTATCAGGTTTCTATTTTAAGAAAATCACTGGCTGTTTTAGGAAAAAATATATATATACTGAGGCAAGAACAAAGGCAAGGAAACTACTCTGAAGGCTGGTGAGAAATTATGGTGATGTGGACTTGTATCACAGAGAAGCAAACAAATGCAGAGACTTTGTGAAAGTAGGAAAAATGGGTTACATTCACTGATAAGACATTGGATGTGAGAAGTAGTAATAAAAATCATGGACAAATTAAAGAAAGAGCTGATTGAAACATCTCAATGGATGATCCTTGGATAAGGATCATTTACTGAGATGGAACACTGAGGAAGGATAGATGTGAGAGTGGAGAATGAAGACTGTCCCAGTTTAGTGCATCTTTGGCGGGAGATGCTTTTGAAGTTATCCCTTAGACCAGGAGATACAAGAGTTCTTTCCCCACTGGTAGTGTTCTCAGCGTTAATCAACAGAACCACCTCATCAGCCAATTGATTGCTCATTCTCCTTTGGTTATCATCAGCCATTGGCACAATAAAGCAGTCACATCTTTCCAAAAATTTTTATTGCTTCTCTGGCTTGTGCCTTTTGTTTTTGGACTCTGAACCTCAATTGTTAATAATCTAATCTTCACAATTTCCTTTGGGACTATTTTTCCTAAAATCCTAAATATATGTTTCTTAAATTTCTTTTCAGATACCTCTTATTTCGTTCTATTCCTATAAATAAAGCCATCTCCTAGTATTTCTTCCACCATTTTAATATTCTTAATTTTATTATATTTTTAAAGTTTTTTCCTTTGGGAATTTATTCACTTTTGTGGTTTGAAGTATCACCAGACTACATCAGCCTTTCTTCTCTTCCTATATTCAATTCTGCATTTCAAAATTTTGGCTACAATAGTCTACTTAGATATCTCATTGCAACTTAAATTCATTATGCCCAGAAAAGAACTCATCAACTTTTCTTTAAAAACTGTTTCTGCTCATACTTTTCCATTTTGGTTAATGTGAAGATCAGTACCTAGATATAAATGCTAGTTTACCTTAAATTGCCTCCATCTCCTGCAGACTTCTGTTTTGTACTCTAAATTTATTTTCAAACTTATTCCTGCTATAATTTTCATTTCTTTTCCCTGATTTTATAGCATTAACTTTGCCAGCAAAACTCAGTCTTTTCACTTCACAGTTATATTTTTGGAATAATCTAACTTATACATGTATTATCTACTTCTTCTAAGGCATCTATCCATACAGTGCTACAGAAATAAATACAAAAGCATTTATACCATGTATTTTCCCATAAGAGATTTCAAATGTCATAGGATATGACCACCATAAATCAAGACCTGGCAACCAGAAAGGGCTATAGCGCTGATACTATTCCAGGTCAGTGACAGGGCTAAAAGTAGATACTACATTTATCAATACATATGTTCAAGATGGATCTTGATTTTGGCTCAGAGCTTCCTAGCAACAAGAGGAAGTGGGAAACCTTGTCAGTTCACAGTCTCTAATATAGACAATAAACTAAAGACAAGCCACACCATCCACGGACTAAAACCTTGACTTATCTTTCAGTAGAACCAGCCACAGTTTCCCTTTATTAACGCCTTAGCACACCCATCTGTTTGTTCCAAAAAACACCACATCTACCATCTTCTCAGTCATTTAGTTCACATAACATGGAGGAAAATTTGCTTCTATCTCTTCTAAATCATTTCTTTTTTTTTTTTTTAAATGATGCTCACCTTCCTTTTTTTATGACAGGCATTTGTCCATGGTTTCTCCCTCTCTTACCTTCAGCTTCTAAATAGACCAAAAATTCCTCTAAGCATATTGTGAATCTATCTC